ATATATATATATATTGTAAGTTTATTCAGCCATCCTTGTAGTGATTGAAACAATTCTTTGAAGAGACAAAAAACTTGAAAATAATTGAAAATAAACACTTTGTATATTTCCTTATGTATGAGTACTTTTATTTCTATAGGATCGATTCTAAGAGTAGAATTACTAAATTAAAGTTGTAAATGCTTAAAATTTTAATGTACTGCTAGTTTCTGGAATGTCACATTTAGACCAATAAGAGATACCAATCTATTGAAGAGATATCAATCTATTCAGTATTTTCCTAAGGTGATTTGGCATTGTTTAACTGTTTTTTTCTTGACTTCTACTGAGGGTTTTTTGGTTTTTGTTTTTTTTAGACAGAGTCTCAAAGTGTAGCTATGGGCTGGCCTTGACCTTGCTACGTAGCCCAAGCAGGCCTTGAACTCTCAGCAGCCTCCTGAGTGCTCTGTGCGCCACTATGCCTACCCTGGCTTCTAGCATCTTTGAATATGTTTTGTAAACTTAATTACTTGGATCTGCTCTTTGTCTACAGGTCAAATATTTTTTTTCTGACTAAATTGCTTTATTTTTTTCCATAATAGGTAAATTTTAATTTTTTATGTCTATCTTTTTTCTGTGTTTGTTCCTGATCTTAAGAATGTGTATATAACCTATTTTCTAAATTGTTACAAAATGTGTTGCTGTGATTTTTTTTTATTACCTTTCTGTTTCATCTACCTGGAATGTGAATATATAGAAAGCAATGCAATCAACGTGTTTTCAGTAGATTTTCTTTACATTTTACTTCTATTTTTTTAGGACAGTTTTTTTTTCTTTTAATCAGCAGGGAAATTAACTACAGCAAGAACTTCATTAATGCTACATTTTAAGAAATGCAAATGTGAAAGATTTCCAACTTGACCCTGTGTGTTTCACATATATCATTAGTCATTGTTAGACATTTTGATCTTGCTTAATATAATTCATTGCTGAATGCGTATTTTAATGAGGTGGTTTTACATCAGCATCTCTAACTTTTGTCTAATTTGTAATCTTAATTTAGAGGTAATAGAAATAGTTGCCTATATAGATTATGCTTTGAAAGTGCTAATAAATTTAGTCATTACAATGGTTGGTTTCCTAAACCGTGAATAGTAGACTTTATTTTGGGGAAGACCTATGTGTGAATGAAATGGGCCAAAGTGTCTCAATGGTGAGTAAAGCAGTGAAATACAAATCAAAAGATGGAAGTGCTAGACCCCTCTGTTGTTAATGTGCGCTGTATTCTGTCATCTGAAATGTAACATGGGTGTTTAAATTGGTGGTAATTGCCATTACTTGATAGTTTGTGAAGTGCTTCATCACCCCTGTTTCATTTTTTTAAAAAAGTAGTTACCTGTCAGGCCTGTTTTACAAATATGAAAATTGAGGTTAAGGGAAATCAAGTCATTCAAAATTGTATTAGAAGTAAAAAAGAAGTAATACACATGCTTATAATTAGACCCCAGAATTTGCCTCATAATTAAGACATTTAGTTACAGTCATGCCATGGCTTGTTTATAGGATTCTTTGTGAATGCCCTGATGTTATATTACCGAAGAGTTACCTTAAATGTCAGCACTGTGTATGTGTTCTACTGCATGTTTAACTCTTTCTGAGTGGTTCCTGATAATGAATTAAACTTTAAGGGTATGATTTTCATTATTTTTTCATGTGAATTATTTGGAAGGCTATCAGTGGTGTTTTCTGGTTTGTTGTTTTTTTTTTTTTTAAACTGCTTCAAACCAATGTTCCATTTTAAAATTACAAACTGATTTTTGGAAACATGCTCAACTAATTAATTCTTACTATCTATAAGTTGATGCAGTTAGATACTTTATTTCACCCTCGAGTAACATAAATTTTTCTCAATTTTCTATTTTTATTCTACAGAATGGTAAAAAACGTTGATCATCTCTGGAAAGGATATTGATCCACCTCATGTAAAGTATGCTCAGTTCCTTTCCAGTGGTGTAAGTATCTAGTCCTTCTCAATTTTTATCCTCTCAGTTGGGTTAATAAAGAAGTCATTATGGGTATCATTCATATCTGACAACAGACATTTGTGGAGTTGAAAGAATTTTTAAGAAAAAGAATCAAATGGTATATCGATTTGACATTGAGATGAACAAGTGTCATAATCAAGTGGTGAAGAATGAATTTTCAGATCAACCTCTTTTGTCATTCCTACTTTTAACTTTGGATTTTGACATTAATTTTCCATTAAACATAAAATTACTATCATTTTTAACTGCTTAATGGCCTAGAAGCTTGTGAGATAGATAACTAATTATTGGAGAGCACTAATGTTAGACCCAGTGAGAAGCAGAATATTAGGAGCCTGTTAGCTTAGTGCTGCCTTTTTGTATGTAAACTCTTTTAACGCCCTAGCCATTTCTCTAGCTACTAGGGATGGAAGTATAGTTAAGCCTATCAACTAATGTAGTTGGTAGCCTTTCGTTAAAGTCAGGCCAAAAAAAAAAAAAAAAAAGTGCAAATTGAGATGGTAATAGTATTTTTGTGCTAGGATCTAAGAATATTTTTGTGCTAGGATCTGAACTGTAACCACCAGTTCATGTTAAATAGCCCTCTGATAAAAGTGTTCTGGGAATTTCAGATATTACAGAAGATAGAGTATCTATTAGTTCATTAAGTGCATCTTTAGATTCTACTGCAGCGTGCCTTCAGCATAAATATTTTCTAAAATTTAGTGGAATCTGTACTTCACTTACATTTTTTCCATTTTGGTTGACACTTCTATAATCCAATTAATAGAGATAGGTTTTCTGGATTGTTTAGATTCTCATTAAAGCCAACCCCAACACTGAATCTCTGATTTAGTTAAAAGTTTCTGCAATAAACTCGTTTCTCCTAAGTAACTGTGTCCTTGGGAAAGTACTTAATATTTTTGACCCTTGATTTCCTTTTCTTAAACCATTTGTTTACCAGTAGCTGTGCTCAGTAGCCAGTATATTGTTAGCATCATGAGGACAAGAATTTTTGCCTGGTTTATTTCTCACTGCATCCTCTATACAGTACAGAGGACCTCATACTTAGTAGGAACTCAGTTGAATGAACAATTTTTTTTTTTTTTTTTTTTTTTTTTTTTTTCTCCGGTACCGGGAACCGAACTCACGACCTTGCGCTTGCCAGGCAGGCGCTTTTGCCGCTGAGCTAAATCCCCAGCCCCTTGAACAATTTTTTTCTAAGTGGTCTCCAGTTCCCTGATTCCACAGCAAATTTATATCTCCTTCTATAAACTTACATATTTTAACTTGGATTTTGTCATGTATGTTAGAAATATGGAGATGTTCAAAGAATGATTTTATAAATCACATGATTTACTGTACCTTTACTATACAAAGAGAATTTTTCTTTAGATTATCAGTGCTTAACCATGTGGAGATTCATGTGAACAAAACTCTAAGGAATACACTAATAGACAAAGACATTTAACCACTAGTGACTGGGTACCAAAATTATCCAAGTCTAGTTGCTCATTTAGGATGGATGTTGGCTTCTGTGGAAAGTCTAAGATTGAGGTATACCTTTATAGGAGCGGTTCTCACCTTGACCACCACAATGGAGATCAGAGAAGACTGGAAGACACTTAAGTTCACTCCATAGTAGAGGGCACTGCTGGTGTTGGCAGGTGAGGCTTCAAAACTCTGAGGTCTCTGATAGCCAGAGTTATCAAAGTATCTGTCAAGCTCCTGAGTTTATGTATATTTTGATGTCAAGTAGTCATCAGTAATTCTCATGTGGGGGTCTGAGGAGGTGTGATGTAACATTCCTGAAAGAAGAGGGAGTTGCTAAGGAAAAAGATAAGATTGCACATATGGGGCTATGATAAGACTTAATATTTTCAAGGAGAGAAGGAATAGCTCCAAGTTCTCATATAAGATCTGATAAGACATCACACTCTGGAAGGGAGAAGGTAGTATATTCCAACTTCTTGTTATAGCAAAACATATAACATGTATTACTCATATAGCAAACTAAGAATTTGGAGTCATTTCAAAGGTACTAAAAGATTTTTCCCCCAGATGTCCATAGGATGACTACAGTGAAGAAAAAAAATCCTCAATCTTAATCAGTAGTAATTTTTAAACTATTAAAGTGTGATTGACATATTGTAGGTCATTAACTACAGTCATGGCCTCTAACTTTTATGCGTCAGTCAGCTCTGCCTTGATTTGAATTACAGAATCATCTGAATTTGGAACTATTAAGCTCAGTTCCTAGCACAACTTCATATCTTATTTTCACTTCTTGATTTGAATGTATAGAATCATCTGAATTTGGAACTACTAAGCTCATTTCCTAGTGAAACTTCATTTCTTACTTATTTTCACTTCTTGCCTTTTTTCTTCTTTTGAAACTGCCAATCCTTTGGCAGTAGTAATAACTGAGAAAGAGACCAATGTGCCATAAATAATAAGAAGGGCCTGGGAACATCTTCATCTGATGAATATTATTATTGACTCTAGAATGTATTAAATCATCCTGCAGTAAATACCACATGTGCAAAACAAACTTTTGCCTAGTCATTCTAGATAAAAAGATAAAAGTAGCAGAATCCAGCTGAAGAAAAAGCTTTATTATGCAGTACATTCTTACTAACTGTTGATGCTTTACAAGTAAGGGAGTAATGACCTTTTTTGACCATGGGATTTCAGGGTTAATCAAAGGTTAAACTTCTCTGCTTTACATGTTTGTGAAATTTAGTTTATAAAAGTACATATATCCAGGACCTCATTCATTATCCAAGAAGACTGAAGTATATGCTCAAGTGGTATTAAAATTCATTGGAAAATACCATTAATCTCATGATATAATCTAAGGCATCAATTTATGAACTGAACCATAATTCCTGAATTTAATTGTTCTTTAATTTTTAAACATTGTCTGTGTTATTGCAGTGTTAAAATTCTTCTCTTTTTCAATTACTGTTGACCTGAGTCTGCATTCGGTTTAGTAATTTAGAGTGAAAAATATTCCTTATCCTGTGAATAATTCTTGTGCATAGGAAAATTAATTCAGCTCTTTCATGCTGTCTTTTTCTTTTATGTAAGAATTGCTGGTATCATGGACTTAGATGAACTTTGTAGGTCATTTACTACTGTAATTTCACGATTATGTGCTTAATATAGGTACATTATAAGAAATAAAATTTCAAAATGCCACAGTGTATGCCTTTGTTGATGTTAATGCACATTGGAGTATTATTCTCAGTAACCAAGGAAGCTTCTAGTCTTGGTATTTGTTCAGTAAGATGCTGTTATCTTCAGTATCACATGCATGATTTGATCCTGCTCTTTATGCCCTCATCATTTCACTCTTAAAAGTGATCATCCATTTCATTCTAGCATCTGTGAATGTTTTTTCTTTAGGTGTGTCTTTGGATTAAAGACCTCTCTTGGTACAAGCTGTAGACATGTAATTTTAGCAAGGTAAACATAAAGGAAAATGAATTTTTTCTCTCCCGTCAGAAGACAAAAAGAGCAGGAATGTGTAAGGGTTAGGAATTACTGGAATATCTACAAAGAGCTTTTTCCTTTGTTATATTCCACATTTCTTCCTTTGTTTTCTGACAAACCACCTTCTTCTACACAATGAAGAATCTGCTAGACTAACATCCTCCTGTACCCGAGCACAGTTACAGTGATGATTCCATTTACCCCTCATGTAACAAAATCTAAAGAGAGTAAGGCTTGGTCTCTTTCTATGCCTACCCATTTCACCAGAAGATGAATGGTACCAAGTGGCAGTCCCAGAAGGTGTTCTTGGAAATAATGACTTGTTTTAGGAATAAAAAGTAATAGATGACTACTATTTTTCCTTTTGTGACTTTTGGAATAAAAGTAGTTTCCAATTGTCTGTGATTCCAAAATGATATAAAGTATTACATTGTTTCAGATGCTTTAGTTCTAAGACTTCTGTTTTAAACATTAGGATGGGTGCTTTTCAATAATTGATGAAATTCATATATTTTATGCTAATATACTGTGCTCTTCTATACAGGGAGAGATATGAAGAATTGTACAGAAATTACTATCTATTCTGCTGTAGATAGGATAGGAAAATACCATGCTTGTTTTTTTATCCATATGGTAAGATAGTACTTGAATTCACTTATCTAAAGAGTAAGATCAGTTTATGAAGTATTTTAATAAGATGAAGACTGAAAATAGCAACAGAATAATTTCATTGAAATTGTTAAACAGAACTATTTCACTGTCAAGAGAAAAAGATGATATATAGAAACTAGAATTTACCAAGCCAATAAATTAAAAGGTGAATTATTTCAGTTAGTCAGTTTCTTTAAAAAGAACTTCAAAAATGAGAGATTGCTAGACACTTGATAGAGTAGATGAAGGACTAAGGATTTAAACAGAAACTAAAGTGTTAAGTATCTTAAATAAGCTGTTAGGAAAATATCCACTTAACTTTTTCAAGGAACTTTCCATTTAAGTAAAATATACTTCTGAAGTGCATAAATCAATAGTGTCTTAACTTTGATGAAATTCCATAGAGAATAAACCTGTGTAATACAGTGAGCATGTAGATCAAGGTAGAGAAAACCAGTAACCCTACGTAACATTTTACATTTTCATTGAATCCAGGGCCTTGCACATGCTATACAAATACTTTACCACTAACCTACATCCTCAGCCCTTTTGCTTTTATTTTGGAACAGAGTCATTCTAAGTTGTCCCAGCTGGGTTTAAACTTGTGATTCTCCTGCCTTAACCTTCCAGAGTTCCTGGATTACAGATGTGTGCTACCATACTGAGCTAAATTTTTTGGTATTAAACACAGTTCACAGATTTTTTTAAATTGGTCAGAAAAAAATAAGTGAGTCACTCTGGTTGCAAGTTTTCTTCTTATTGGAGAAAGGTGATGATATATTATGGGGCGTAAGCTGAAAAGAAAATGTTGAGAATATGGTTATAATCACCAAAGCATTTAAAATAGCTAATACAGTATCAATGTGTCCATCGGTAGAATGCACAAAAAAGCCAGTGGTCTAGTTGCGCCTGAAATGCTCCCTAGCCATGAAAAGGAACAAGCATGCTAAAACATGCAGTATCATCTATGAATCTCAAAAAAAATAAGGTCAATGAAAGATGTACACAAAAGAGCGAAGAGAGTGGTAGATAAGAGTTTGAAAAATAGACAAAAGTAATCCATGGGTGAAAAAACTGAATAGTGATTGCTTCAGAGGGAAACGGACAGGGATGAATGGGGAAGGTGGCAGAAGGAACTTCTTGGGTGATGGGAACTGTTCTGTATCTTCAGTTGGATTCAAGTTTCAGAGGGTATGTTCTTCTTAAAACTCTTCAGATTGCATGCATAAAATATTCCTCAAAAGAGAAAAGAACCAGACCAAATAGTAAGGTCTAGTTAAGGACATATATGCTGAAGTGGTTAGAGGACAGTGTACAGATATCTGTAATTGATTCTGAAATATATCCAAAAGTACAGTGAATTAGAGATGGATGAGTACATGAATGGATATACATGTACTGGTGCAAATGTTGTACAAAGAGAAGAGTAAAATTTAGGTGATTAGTATATGGGATGTTCAGTATCAATTTATTTTAACTCTTCTGTACATTTAAAATTTCTCATAAAATGAAGACTATACTGAGGCAATCAAAGAATATTTATTCATGAAAACAGGTCTTTGTTTTATAATGGATAGCTTGGTACAAATGAGTTTAGAAAGAAAGTAGATCATAGTATAGGTGCAGAGCAGATACTGTGGCCCATGAATGGAGATGGTCTGCAACATACTAGTTTGTGTTCTAGAATGTGTGTGTTTAAGTTTTATTGAGCCTGTTTCTAAAAGTAGAGAGCATCACATAAAAATTTTGCCTGCTTATTTTAAAAAGCATTTGCAAAACAAAGCAGTCATTGAAATGAAATAGAAAATCCAAAAGTAGTTACAGATTCATAGGAATTTTTGTATATGATAAAAGTAACATTTCAGATCAGGGAAGAAGTATATTATTCAGTGAAGGATATTGGACAAGTAGCTATTCATTTGTAAAGAAATAAATTCTAAATCCTTTCATACTAATAAAGTAAATGTAAATTCTAAAGTGAATTAAAGTTTTAATTGTTCTGACCTCCAAGTCCATCAATAGAGTGGTTTTATCTAAACCATTTTAACTAGAGACTTAAAGTAATACAAGAGCCTATATCCCTAATCCTTTCTTTCTAGTAAGTCCTACAGTATAGTGGTAAGCAAAATAATGTCTGGTTTGGGAGTGAATAAGATGTAGGCTTAGAATTTATTTTTCTACTTTTTATTCTGATCTTTTTTTTGGAAGGTACAAAAGTACTCTGAGCCTTAGTTTCCTTATAGTAAATTCATCAGCATGAAATGAAATAAAATAAATTATATGTACCACAGGGAATTACTGTGAGAATTAGATGAGATTATGCGATATGAAAGTCTTTCCTAATTTCTGCCTAGAAGTGAAGATTCAGTAAATTTTTAGTACAGTATAGAGGCATGAAGAAACAGAACTCCAGCAGGTAAAGGGGACTGGCCTAGATCACATATGAGAATATTGCTTGACCTCTATTTCTCTTAGCAAATATTTGTTGAGTGCCTACTATATGCCATGAATCGTGTTTGGCACTAGAACAACAAAAATTAAAATAGAAAAGATCACTACTTTTTAAAATCATGTATTCAAGAAGTCAGGTTGTGTTACAAAAGGAATGTTAAGTAGTAAACATTTTTATGATTCTCTTAAACTAAATATTGTTATTCTCTTAAACTAAATATTTTATTATTCTCTTAAACTAAATATTGTTATTGTAGTTCTCTTAAACTAAATATTGTTATTCACTCTGAGAAAACATTTTCTGATGTGCTTCAGTATCTTGTGCTAGTTAAAAGGAGACATGTAGAAGCAATTTCCTAGGAGAACTGAGTAGCTTCATTTGGCTGTAACCAAAAAAGAACCATTTCAGGGTAAATATTTTTTAAAAATGCATCACTTAACTGAAAATTTAGGAAATTACTAAGTAGTAGATGAAGTGGTGCTTAGTACTTTTTTTTTTAAATATACCTGTCTTTTTCACTTAAATGTCTTTGCTGATTACTATTTCCTTGGGCGTAGCCAAGCAAATCATTTGTTTTTATGGACTTGACATACAGAGGTTTATGTCAGTGTTGCTCATACTTGGTAAAGCAAGATAATGTAAACTTTTTTTTCAGCAATTTTCCATTTGTACTGTATTGGAGTATAGTAAGTTTGAAAAAAAACCTTAAAAAAACTTTTTAAAAAGTTATCAGTGTATGCTTCTGTACCTTATGTATTCAATTTGTCGTTTTGGTATTATTGCTACAACTAACTTTTTAGTTCCAACATTGACAGTATAAATTATATGCTATAATAAATTGTGCCTCATATTATATCTTCTATTTGTTAATAAACTCAGTATCTGTACCAATGTATTTGCATGGCAAATTTAGCATGGGACATGTCTTACTATTTTTAATAAAAGTGTTGATGTAGAAATAATGCATCTGCTAAATATTTCCTATAGTAGGTATTTTGGCAGATGTTGTCAATAAAGAGATCCCCTTTTCTTTTTATCTTTTTTTTCCTTTTGTTTTTAGTTTGCTGGAAACCATGTCTCACTATACAGATGAACCCAGATTTACCATAGAACAGATAGATCTACTTCAGCGCCTTCGGCGTACTGGAATGACTAAACATGAAATTCTTCATGCCTTGGAAACTTTGGACCGTCTTGATCAAGAGCATAATGACAAGTTTGGAAGAAGGTCCAGCTATGGAGGAAATTCATATGGGAATAGTACCCACAATGTTCCAGCGTCTTCCTCCACAGCTACAGCTTCTACACAGACCCAGCATTCGGGAATGTCCCCATCACCGAGCAACAGTTACGATACTTCCCCACAGCCTTGCACTACCAATCAAAATGGACGGGAGAACAACGAGCGATTGTCCACATCGAATGGGAAGATGTCACCAACTCGATACCACGCAAATAGCATGGGTCAGAGGTCATACAGTTTTGAAGCTTCAGAAGAGGACCTAGATGTAGATGATAAAGTGGAAGAACTAATGAGGTTAGTTGCTTTGCTTACTCTGAGTCTCCAAAATGACTGTATTCTTAGATTGCCTTTAAGTAATAAGCTGTATTTCAGTCACTTACCTATAAGAACTGTAAGTTCTCCCTCCCTTCTTTGGAGAAGAAAGAAAAAACAAATTTTTATGTTTTCAATTGAAGTTTTCTCTCCTCTACTTCAGCCCTTTTTGCTACTTGATAGTCCTTTTCTATTTTGCCTATTTATCAAAGATGAGACTCCTCTTTATGGCACTAGATCTAGCTTGTGACTAACAGAACTTAGTCTAATCTTTAAGTCTTTCTAAGTATTTTTCTGAGGGATAAGGTAATTTTATCATGCTACATAAAATATACACTTCCTTTTTCTCTCCGTCATTCCAATCAACAAAATAATTTCAGTAAGTACTAAATTAAGAAGTAATTTTTAAGAAGAAAAATGGTGTTACTGCCCCTAAGAAGCAAAAGTTCTAATTTTAGCAGTAGGGGTTACACACAGGCGTGCTTGCACACATGTACACACTTAAGGGTTTTAAACACTGAAAAAAGAAACCCACTTTCAATGGAGGTAATTAGGAAAGGCTTCACACCAATAGATTTGTGCACTTTGAGGGTGGCAACCATATGCTTCTCGTTGTTTGTCCAGAGCCTACAACTTTCTTCAGCACAGTTACAAGTTAATTTTTTGAGTGGCTGAATTTGACATAAACCTTAAAGGATAGCCTCTGTTTTAAACTATAGAAAGTTTATTTAAAGCTTTGAGACTCTTAGAAGGTGTGAGAGAAGACAGGGCATATTTTCAGCCTGATAAAGGCTGAGGTACTTCCCCAGACCCAGATGTTGCTTGCTTTGGGATTTAGTCTGTTGTTGTGGAGTTTAAAAGGGAGGCCCATTTAGCCAAATAAAAGTTTGTTCACTCATTGGAATATAGTAAGATGTGCTTTTAATTGTCCTGAATATTTAAGCATAAAAGTACTTTTTCAGTTGTATGTTGTTGCTGTTCATTTTGATAAGCTTTTCTATATAATAATCCCCAAATATGTATTACATTAACAAGTATGGAAAGCTGTCTTCATCTTTTTTTTTTTTTTTTTTTGGTTGTTTGTGACAAGGTATTACTATGTCCAGGCTGACCTTGAACTTCCTATGTAATAGTGCAGGCGTGGCTCAAACTCTTGATCTTCCTATGTCAGCCTCCTAAGTGCTGGATTACAAGCATTTGCCACCAGGAAATTGTCTTTTTAGCAAACTACTTTGGAAGACTAAAAAGTCTAATAAGTGTCTAAAAAGCTGACTTTTAACCTGTAGGTTGGCCTGATGCTTTATTTCAACTACAGTCCCACCTCAGTTGTCAAACTCAATTTGTCCCAAATTTGCGTTCAGACACCAAAAAGTTCAAGAACTGAACATATTTTTCCCATAGGAAATAATGAGAAACGAAATCATTGGTTCTGAGGCCCAAAAATTACACTTAGGAATTCATTTTTCTAGGACTTTACTAAAGTTCTCAATGATTTCTTTCTTTAAATTTATCGTGGTTCTCAGATTTTTTTCCTCTTAGCTTTACGCCTGGTATCATTAACTTTCTTTGGAGCCATGGTTATGACATTTTTTGTGAATAAAATGCACCAAAAAAACCCCACACAGTAAGGAACATTTTCACACACTAACATAAGCACTGTATGTTGTTTGGGCAAGAACGGAGCTTAGGATGAAGCATCACCCCTTTGTGTTTGTGGCAAGCCACCACGCGTACTGGTCTTTTCAAGTCGGATTTTCAGTATGACTACCAAGCAAAGTTACAAACACCAAGCAGATTTTTTTCAAACTTTGCTGTTCGGGTAATAGAAAGTTTGAGCTTAGAGCCATTTGACAGTGAAGGTATCACCATATATCTCAAACAGAACACCTGTTAGCAGTGACTAAAATTTGTAGTTAAATCCTATAATTACACTCATTCAAGTTTCACTGTTCACTGTATATAGTTTCACATGTTGCAATTGGTATTTAATTTGTGTACTACAGCTTGTGGTACAGTTAGGATACTACCTTCTTCATAATCAAGATACTCCTTCCCTTTCTCACATTCCCTAGGATTGCTCTTCTGCTGTCCTTTAATTACACAGGGGTCTCCTTGGACCTTCTGGCACCCTCTGGCCCTCTGCTATTGTGCCTTCCTCCACTCCAGCACTTCTGGTTTCCTCTAGTTTGCTCTCCTCGCTCTTCTTTTTTCCTCCCCTCTTGTCCCCTGAGTACAATTCTTCTTAGATCGAAGGGAGAAGTTTATGGCATAGCTGGGCATGGTGGTGCATGCCTGTAATCCCAGCACTCAGGAGGCTGAGGCAGGAGGACTGCTGTGAGTTCAAGGCCACCCTGGGCTGCAAAGTAAGTTGAAGGCCTGCCTCAATTGCATGCATAGCAAGACCCTGTCTCAAAAAGACCAAAAAAAAAAAGAAGTTGTTTATGGAATGCCTGTTCTCACTTGTCATTGTTATAACCATGCTGTAAATTTAATACGGAAAACTGAGATTCATAAAAATTAAATTATTTGCCCAAGTAAATTTGAGTATTGGGCCTAAATTATAACTCATGTCTTTATTGTGTATGTTGGTTTATTATCAATGTGTTTTCTCTGTAAATAAATTATGTATGTGTATAGATTTTAATACAACCTTAGGAAAGGTGGTTAATTTAACTCAAGACAGTGTAGATTTAGTAGGCTTGCTACCCTCCTTCCCCCGTATATTTGCCACTTCACATCACTTACTAATCAAGCAAATTTTTACATTAGAGACATTCTTTGAACAATATATGTTCTCTGCCCAGCTACACATATACTGCCCTCGTTGACCCTTCCACACTGGTGATACTAGAATGAATTGGAATTAGTGATCTCTGGTAGAAAGCATGAGTCCCTGGATGCCTTTCTGCCTCCATTTTTTTGTATATAAAATCTACTTCTCCCTTGCTCACATTCCCCAACCTCCAGGGTACTCATCCAAAAGACTTATTTTTCAAATTTCATAATCCAGTTATTTAGTGAATTATAATAATTTCAAGGTATGTAATAGAGATTTCTTTGGAGAACCTCATCAAGTTATAACTGTACCTCATCAGCTCCCTAAAAAAGAGTCAAGAAGAAACAAGTAACTGCTACTTTGCCATTTTTTTTATTAGGATTAAAAAAAGAAACAGAAAAAGAAAGGCGAGCTAGCATATGAATTGTGTTTTTGTTTCAAAGAGGAGGAGAGGTTAAATAAATACAATAAAGAGGAGAGGTTTATTTTGGCTCATGTCAATAAGTCATCAAATATAACATTTTAGCAAGGGCTCTAAATCCAGAATGAAGACTCATTTCACATTTTAATTTCCTATAAAGTATATTTCCTAATATATAAATATATGTATAGAGGGTTTGTTTATATCTGCTTGTATAATAGTATGCATCCAATGTTTATCTGCTCTGTTATGTATGTATTATGAAGTGTATCAGAATGAATAAGTAGTGCTGTACATTAACTACGTTCTCATCCACCTATATACTAAATTTTATGAGCATGTTAGTGCTTTGGGATTTTTTGTTTTTGTTTTGCAGTACTGGGAATTGAACCACGACCTTACACATGCTAGGAAAGTGCTCTACCACTGAGCTACATCGTTAGCCCTTTTTTATTTTATTTTGAGACATGGCCTTGCTAAGGTGCACAGGATAACCTCAAAATTGCCATCATTCTGCCTTGGCCTTCCAAGGAGTTCTCCCTAGCTAGTATGTTAGTATTTTGTAAAAAAAAGTCTGAGACTGCTTTCTAGTTGGTTATGTAGACCTAACAATAGACTATGGGTTGAGCATTCCTGAAACCTGAAATGCTCCAGAATCCAAAACTTTGTGAGTCCCTGTATGATGCCCCAGGTGGAAGATTCTATACCTTGAAACTTGCTTTCAAAAAATTATTTAAAAGATTGAGTAAAATTAAAGTCATGCTCTGTGCATAAGGTATACCTGACACATAAATGAATTTTGTGTTTAGCCTCTAGTCCTGTCCCTAAGATATCTATGTGTCCTCCAAAACCCCCCAAAATTCAAATCTGAAATACTTCTCATCCTATGCATTTCAGATAAGGGATACTCATCCTGCATTTATGTGTGTGGGTAGGATATTTCTGTTCTGTAGGTAACAAGATGAAATGATTAGGATCTACATGTACCATGTTGGTTATTCTTCTAGTGTTATCTTTTAAAGTTGCACTTTGTGTAGCTTCATGGCTGAAAAATTACAGGAGTGTTTTAATTCAAATGTGAAAAATGTTTGTATGTACTTGTTATTTTCCAATTGTGAAATAGACTGTCTTGGTAGATACTGCTTCATCTCTCTGAAATAGGTGACTGCTTTTAAGAAATCCTAAAGAATGTTTAGTTCATATTAACTAAGAGACTAAGATCTTAAAACATATCATTTTTAAACATGTCGTCTTTAGAATCTTTTATTCAAGAAAGTAAAGCAGTTTCATTTTGAACTACTATAAATAACTCCTTCCATTTTGATTAAGTTTAAATATATTTGAAAATAAGAATTTAAAACTTTTATAAATTATCTAGATCAGATTTTCCATTTACAACTTTTTATCTCTAACTAGATTTGTTCACTCATTTAACAAATTAAGTTTTATTATATGCAAGCCCCATGATGAATAAGAAATAATACTCGGAACTTTACAGGCTAGTAGGAGAGATAAGACAGAGTAGGAACAACTATAATACAGAATAGCATGTAATATATTAATGTGTGAATAGTAATTGAAATATTAAAAATAGCCATTTGAAAAGAGGTCTTTGTTAGCTGTGAAGATCAGGAAGAACTTCTCAGAGCAGATGACAGTTAAATTGTCATCTTAAAGAAAGGTGGTTTGATAGAGGCATTGCTCATGAATTCCTTCAGATATGTAGAAAGTTGTGTAGGTAACAGTGGGAAGTTTATTAGCAAGTTATAAATTTGATGGTAATGCAAAGTGGAAAGGAAGAATTTCATCTTGATATGGAAGTCACATAGATGAATCTGGCATGGTGGGTATCTCAGAAAGTAGCAAGAGGAGATGGCATGGACTACAAGTGGTGAGATGCAAATCACAGCACATCTGACTTGGAATTAAGCCATGAAGTCGAAGAAATGATCAGCTTCACTTTAGTTCACAGACCTGAAGAATAAAGATTCTGTGTAGCATGAGATTTTATAAGTGAAAGGAAGAAGAGATTCGTTATTTTTAGGGAAGATATTGAAGGAGAAGATGAAATAATTAGATTTGGAATAAATAGTTTTCACACTAACTGGTGATTGCATAGGGTCAGGTCATACGAAGGTAGTGCAAGAGGCACATGGTTAAGGAAGGTTGGATAAGGAGAGAGTGAAGAGAAATATGTGAAAGTTTAAAGAACAAAGCAAGCTAAGTAGAATGGATTCTGTAATACTTAAGAGATTTGGACACAATGAAAGTCAAATGCTGTTACTGTTTTGAAAACATCTAGTAAAACCAAGTAAATGACACATCACTGCGTGTGTCTAAACTGACCTTAGAGCACTCCTTCCATTGTGCCTTAAAGTTCCTTGTACTTCACTCTTTTTTCTCTTTCTTTTCTTTCCCCCTCCAGGGCCTTTGCACTGAAAAACTATTAGCAGTTCTTTGTTTTTTATTTTGAATAATAGTGTTTATAAAACTGTTTTACAATTTTGAAATGTTTTACATTGAAGAATTTATTCCTTTATATATTTATACACATGTATTCATTTTTAATTACTCATTATTTAATTTTATTACCTAGAGAAGACTTTTAAAAACTTTTTGAAGGCGATATTAATTTTACCTGGTGAGGAAACCGGAGTACAGCTTTATTAAGTCATTTGCCCATGCATACCTTTTTTAAAAAATTATTATTTATGTGTTTAGACGGTGCCAGAGGTTGAACCCAGGGCCTTGTGCATGCTAAACAAGCATCTACGATTGAACTATGCTCCCTGGTTCCCCTTATCTTTGTTGTGTCTGATTGGTTTATTTACTGAAGCTTCTTCTCTCTGGTAAAGCAATAAAGAGAGTGAGTGTGTGTGTGTCTGTGTTTGTGTGTGTGACTCATTATAGATACATTAGAAACTTCTAGAATATTTGAAAATATAGTCTATGGGATGGTAAGTGAAATTGCTGTTTCATAGACCTGGGATTCCTTCTACCTTACCGCAATCCATAATATAAGACTAATAATTCACAAACTAGATATCCTTTATTGAAATAATTATTACCTCTTTTGTATGATTTAGTATCTACTATAACTGCATTTGATTTAAAGTAATTTAATTTATATTCTAATTTAAATCAGTAGTCAATAAAATACCATTTACTAATTTTCCCCCACAAAAGCACATTTTACATTTAACCTGAATAATTACTTTCTTAAATACAATTTCATTTTCCTAGATCATTCTGTACTTTGAAATGTGATGCTTTATTTTTAAATTTTCAAATTAATTTTATAGTTATATAAGAAACCAAATGATTGAGTTATATTATTTACATAAGCCAATTGGAATTGATACTGCTGAAGTTATCTCTTGCTCAACTGATCATTGATTATATAGACAAGCACTTTTTGGGAAATCTAGTCAGAATCTAAATTAGTATAAAAATGTTAAATATTGTATTAGGCAGTCTGTTCTTTATGTTCTTTGGGAATCTTGGGAGGGGCATGCTTGGGGTTGATCCTAAGTCCTTACACGTGCCAAGTAAACCCTATACCACTGAGCTCCATTGCCCGTTTAAGGAACCTTTCTGGTTACAATCTCCATCCAATACATCAGGATGTACTGTAGAGGTATAGAGTGGAAACTCATCACCATTACCTCTCCACTCTTCCAAAACTCCCAAACAGGAGCATGGAGTCTACCAACAGAGTGTGTAACTCCTCCTCATCAAGGACTGAAATACCTGACCTAAATTAAGGTACAGCTGATTGTTTTGGGATTTTTCTTCCAGTTAATCTACAGAGAGACTTGAACCCCTAGAAAGAGTTTGTGATTCATTCACAGACAGTTTGTAAAGATGGTTTTTGTTTTGGTGGTACTGGAGATCGAACACAGGGACACTGTACCACTGAGCTACATCTCCAGTTCTTCTTTTCCTTCTTTTTTTTTTTTTTTGTTAAACTCCAGAGATAAAGTTTATCTGAAAATCTGGATAGGGCTTTTTTTGTTTGTTTTTTTCCAGTACTGGGAATCGAACTCAGAACCTTGAGCTTGCCAGGCAGGCACTGTGCCGCTGAGCTAAATCCCCAGGCCCCAAGTTCTTCTTTTTGAAGATAGGGTCTTGCCAAGTTGCCCAGACTGGCTTAACCTTGAGATCCTCCTGCTTTGATCTCCAGACTGCTGGAATTACAGGCATATATCACTACACCTGGCTTAATTTTTAAGACAAGGTCTCACAAAGTTGCTTAGGCTGGCCTTAAATTTGGGAGTCCTTCTGTCTTAGCATCCCAAAAAGCTGGGATTGCAGGCATATGGCACTGTGCCCATATTTGAAAGTTTTGTGATCCCTTTTTCAGATCAAAGGTCAGTTTTTCTGTAAAGAAGTATGTAGTTAACATTCTAGACTTAGTGGCCAGGAGGCAAAACTGAAGCCAGAGTCTGTATACTTATATAAGAGAAAAACAAATAGCCACAAGTTTTATTGACATAGCTAAATACAGATTACTAATTGAATAAAAGTTTTAAAAATATAGGCTCATAGTTATAATTACGTGGGCTATAATATTTTACTATACTTATAAATGCCCCTCTGCAAAAAGGATTCTCAACTCAAAAGTTGTATAAAAACAGATGGCAGGGCAGATTTGGCCTATAGGCCATATTTGGTGACCTTGTATGGTAAATTATCATTGGTTTGTAGTTCTTTTGAGGTGGTTTTTTTTTTCTTTCTTTTGTTTTTTTTTTGGTCCCGGGAATCAAACTCAGGACCTTGCGCTTGCCAGGCAGGCACTTATACCACTGAGCTATATCCCCAGCCCCTATTCTTTTGAGTTTGAACAGAATTCAGTGTTCTGTTGTATTCTTTGTGAAGATAAAGCATTCAAAGAAAGTTTGATCATTTTTAAAATTTAAATATTTTTATTTAAATATTCTGTTCGTTCTTCTGGAAAGAAAGAAGTCTTGCCACTCATCACTCTTGAGTGTCTGGTCTTTTGAGAATTTGTTGAGTTTTTGAAGAAGTAAAAATTTGTAACACCATCTTAGAGGAAGAATGAGGTCTGTAAATATGGAATCCTAAGGACAGAGACATTAGTGTAGTTTTGATTATTAAATATTCTGTATGTTACATAAAGCAGGAAATTAAATGACTTTTCAGTATTAAAGTTTAATGTTCAGCCATTCTACTTCACATTTTTTTGTTTGTACAATGAAAAAGAAAGGATGAGTTACAGGGCAAAGCCTTTGTTAAATGGCACATATTTTCAGTTGTGAAAGTAATGATTTCTATTCCTGTAACTATTTTAAAGTTTTTTTAAATGAACATGTCTGGTTAATAAGCAAACTCACAAGCTACTCACAACTGATTTTTATTTTTCTAGGATTTCTGTGTAAGATATATTCATTCCCCAATAATGAACTTTATACATACCGTATCACAGCCCTGTTCCTAATGTGAATTATACACAGCATGCAATTAACCATCCTCTGGTATGAGACTTATATCTATGGTGGCATTCACTAAAATGTCTGTCTGGTGGTGTGATGTTTTAGCACTTGAATATTTGGTGTTTCTTGGTTTGTTGTAATTTCATATTTTCATACAAGTTTGGTCTGTTTACCTTTTATTTTTGTGTCCTTTCTTTCTGTGTTCTCCCCACCTCTCTGCTACACCTTTCTTTTGGCAAAGATGAGGATTTCTGCCTTCAACATACATTGTTGGTCTTGTCTTCTGTTTTTGTTAGGAGGGACAGCAGTGTGATAAAAGAGGAAATCAAAGCCTTTCTTGCCAATCGGAGGATTTCCCAAGCAGTTGTTGCACAGGTAACAGGTAAGAGCTGAAGAGCCCTTTATTCTGGAATCGTGTCTATTCTCTGCCTTCTGTGCAGATGTTGAATATTGCTTGCATATCTGCATTGCAGTGCAGATCTGTCAACTTAGGCATAATAATGTATGCCCGTGATTTAAGACCATTGTCTCTCAGGTCACGGAACTTCTCCAGTGATTTTTTTTTCTTGTGATACTGAATTTTATAGCATTCGTAATAAGCAAAAAATCCCCTGTTTTGTGACTGAAACAGCATTTTTTGTTTTAATTGAAACAGCTTATGACACATGCACATCCAACTGCTATCTGCATTTCATGTTTTTAAAAGCTTTGCAGTCCTCCAAATCTAATCTCTGATTTTACCAGTAATTCATGAAGGTAAAGAAAGTTGTTTCTTTTAACCACTTTTCTGTATGTGAAAGCATTTCCTCAAATGATTGCTGAGAAGATGAGAGTTACCATTGTCTTCTCTTTGTTCTTTATATCCCATCCCATTCTCCACTCCAGTCCAAGTCCCCTCCCGAGTACGTGGTGTATATATGTCATTCTCTATTCAGGTTGCATTTTTTATGAAGTTCTTAAATTTGGGCGTAGCATGTCTTTTCTTTGTTACTATGTTGTCTTCATTTCTTGGATTAATGATACCCCAAAATATGAAGCATGCCTTAGTCTTTAGAGGAAACAAACTCTTTCAACTACATTTTGTAGTTACTATGTTGTACTTTTTATATTGGTAAATATAAAATATGATTTCTCCCTCTTTTTTTTTTTTTAAACATGCTGTGGCACTAGGAAACTATGTGATGGCTTTTTGGCTTTTGTGCCTTACTTGTCTTCTATTATGAAAGAAACACTTGGGTCTATTCTGCAACAGTACCTTACAATTTTAAGATAATCTTTTTCTTCTGTACATATTGATACTTGAAGTGAACTTACCTAAAATGTTTTTGCTGACCATTAATTTGGTTAAAAATGAAACTTGAAATTTAGATGTGTTAAATTTAATTTCAGATAGCTATACTTACCCTTTGTTTTGTTTTGTTTTTTGAGACAGGGTCTCATTACATAGTTGAGACTGGCCTTAAACTTTGTATGTAGCCTCGGCTGGCCTCAAACTTGTGCGGATCCTCCTGCTTCTGCCTCCCAAGTGCTGGGAATAAAGGGCTGTGCCACCATGGCTGGCTTCAAACAGTCTTTTGTAATGTGTGTGTTACATTAGTAATATGTTGTATAAATGACATTTATTCATAAGAGACTTTTAAGACACACGCTTTCATATAAAAGTCTTAGAACTAAAGAAGAGTATATGCATTTAACTGGAGTCTGTAGGTATTTGTCAGTTTTTTTAAGGAAAGATTTATTTTGACTTAAATTCTTAATCTTCAAGGACTAAGTCATGGTGCTTATGAGACAGTGTAAGGGCAATTTAGTTATACAGGTTTTAGTGAAACTCACTGATGTGTTGGGCTATGAAAAAGATGGAATGTTGTCTTTTTTGCACTTCCATTTCCGCTTCCATGATTAGAAGCAATACTGTCTTCTAGTTTGCAGACCTGAATACAAACAAACAAACAAAATTATAGTCACATAGAGAACAGTATTACAAAGTTGCCTTGTTCAGGTGGAAATATTTCTGAGTAGGTTGGATGCACTGAATCTTCAGTCATCTTAGACTTTTCAAACAGTGGCTTTGAAACCTCTCCAAAATTGATGTAAATCATAAGATGCCTTTGAAAAGCATTGCTTAGGCATATCTAAAAGCACTAGATGTACCATAATGAGCTGAATATGGTACATCAAATATTGTCATTTTGGAAAGGGAAATGGAAAGATGTTTTCCCATCTTGCTATTCAAAATGTAGTCCATGAAGTAGTAAGATTGGTGTCACCAGCAAACTTGTTAGAATGCTGCCTTGTACCTGTAGAGATAGAATTTACATCTTATAAGATCCCCGAGTAATCTAGGTTTGAAAATACTTTTCTAGGAGACTGGTAAACTTTCCTGACCTTAATTTCAATGGATTGGAATTTCTTGACATTGCCTTGCTTGGTGATATGCCATCTCCTATTTTTGAAAGTAAGAGGTGAAAAAGGAAGTTCCTTAAAAAGTGACTCCAGCTTCATTTTGTTTTGTTTTGTTTTGTTTCCGGTACTGGGAATCGAACTCACGACCTCGTGCTTGCCAGGCAGGCACTGTGCCGCTGAGCTAAATCCCCAGCCCTCCAGCTTCGTTTTTTATTGCCATCTTCTGTTTAGCGTACTCCATGTCTGAGTTCAGCTACTTTAAATTTTCGTATTCTGTTCACTTGGATGCTTCCAAATCCTTGGTTGTACCTGGTAGGCCTCATCACAGCCTTATCAATTCCTCTTAATTAGTATTACTTTTAGTTATTACCCTCATTTAGTTTGGATGTAATTCATACATTCTAAGTATAATTAATTAGTATACCTTTCAGTTCTCATTTTAGAATACTATTCTTCAAAGGCTGTGACTTTTTCCTACATTCACTCAGAGTCTAACATTGCACATGTACCAGAACATTTCACATTTACCTAGTTGCCTTGTTAGGAGTATTACACCACAAACAAGGAGTTAACACAAACTGTACATGTGAAGAACTGTCCAGCACAACTTCTCCAGGAATAATATGCTGCATGAAGTTATACCCATAAAGAAGTTACAATTTTATCCACAAGGCTGGAGAATGAGGGTAATTGATAACCAGGTTCATTTATTTGTCATATGGGTCATCTTACTGAATTCATGTGTTTCCTGTGTGTTATTAAAGATGTTACATTTTTCATCTCTGCAGTCCAGCTCTCAGTCTAAGGAGCTCATTGCAGAGATGAGGTCTTGCTAGAGAATAGAGACTTAATAAGAACCTAAATGAAGTCTGCCCTCATAATTGATCCATCTAGGATAAGAACCTTTCTGGATAAGGAAGCCCTCTAGGCACCTAGAGTTCACTCCCTAAAGTATCTTGGTTATGTAAACACAGTTCTCTGTCTTTAAACAAGTTAGTCATGTATATCTTAAAAGAATATCTATGTGATGACATCAGCCCTAAAATAAGTTTAGGATGTCGTGTTCTAGAATCTTGTCCTTTAACAAATCCCCTTAAAGTCATTTAAGCTCAATTTTACTGTGTTAAATCAACTTTGATATAAAAATGAGAATGAATGATGCGTAACAAAAGAAAACGCTAAATAACAAAGTGTAGTGAGGTGCAAAATTATAACACATGTGCTGTTCCAGAAACAAATAGACATTTCTTTTTATAGATTTGGAAGATTTCTATAATAAGATAAACAAGAAGTTCATGGGTGGGGTCTATGTAAATAATATCCTACTGATAGGAAAAATAACAGTATAAACAGGATATAATAACAGTGCCTGCTCAATTCCCAGCATGTTATTTGTAGCTTTCTTCCCAGTTGCAGCTTCTCCCGCCCAGGGTGGGTTTTTACCTCTACAAGAGGTTGGCCAAGATTCTAAATTCTCACTAACAATGATAATGGGTTTGTGAAACATAGCCTTTACTTTAGTAATAAACACATGTATTGTATTTGCTTTCAGAGTAAAATGTGTTCCTAAACTGTTTACAGATCCTTAAAACACAACTTTTTTTAAATGACCTCTGGGGGAAAAAATCAGGCACAAAGAATAAAATGGGTAAATGGGCAGAATTTGATGAATGCTTCTCAGCCAAGGAAATATACTAGTTGGGTTCATATATTAGAAAAAATAAATATATGGAAAAAGAAAAACATTTAGCACTTGCAAATTTTAGGAAACATTATAATTTTATATTTTCTAAAATGGTAGTAGAGTAATGGAAAAGCAGCAGAATTCCAGGGTTCTGTCTTTCTGACATTAGATTGCCTTGTGACCTGGATTCTCATTTTCCTTATTTATAAGAAGAGTTTTTGTCTTGGTCCATTTGGGCTGGTCACTATTTATAAGAAGAGTTTTTGTCTTGGTCCATTTGGGCTGGTCACTATAACAAAATACATAAACTCACACAGTGATCCTATAGTGTAGGTTATGTATTTTATACATAAATACATAATACTCTGGGTAATTTCTCATAGTTTTGAGAACTAGAAAGTCCAAGATCAAAGCCAATGAAGTATTGGGGAGAGCCCACTTCTGGCATAGACTGTGCCTTCTTGCTGTCTTCACATGGTGGAGGGGTGAGGGATCACTATTGTTCTCTACCTTTTTTTCCCAGGCACAAATTCCATTCTTGACAGTTTCAGCCCATGCAACCTAATCACTCCCTAAAAGTGCCTCTCTTAATACCCTGACCTTGAGGGCTACAGTTTCATGAATTTTAGGGAGACATAAACACTCAGGACATAGCAGTTTCCAAGTTATTTTCATCTGAGCTATAACCAAATCTAATCAGGTGCCGGAACTAACCAAACTACAACTGGGCTCTTTTATACCAAAGAGACGTATAAAAATTTGAGGTTGTTTGGTATTCATTCATTCATGGGTTCATTTATGCCTTGTAAAAAGCTTTTAATATCGGAATGTGTCAACCTCAGTTAAATTTAACTATATAATTCCCCCCCTCCCGCCAGATGAATTTAGAGGTATATAGGTCAAATGTGAATTGTTTTATTTTTTAAATCATTTTTATTGAGATAAAATTTGCATACAAGTACAGTCCTCTGAGTTGTATCAAATTCACACAATAGTGTAATCATTACCAAAAATCAAGTCATGTAACATCTTCAGTATTCCTAATCCCTGACAACCATTCATCTGCATTCTGTCTGTACTGTTTTGCCTTTTGTAGAAATTTCTGTGAATGTAATTATACAGTGCACAACTTTGGTTTCTGGCTTTACTTAGCATGATGATACTGACATTCATTAGTGTTCTTACATGTATCATTAGTTCATAGCTTAAATACTGAGTCCTATTCCATTGAATGAATAGAAGAAAATTAATTTGCCCATTACTTATCAGTTAGTGTAGATTTGGATTATTTCCAG